GTGTTACAGTGAGTGGTGTGGGGCATTAACAGGGTGTTACAGTGAGCAGTATGGGGTATTAACAGGGTATTAAGAATGCGGTTTAATACCAATTTCTCTCTCCATTAGGTGACACGGATTTTCCGATCAGTTTTGTTTTGATCTGCTCCGTACGTTTGACAACTCAGTCTTCGTTTACCAATTTGTCAATTCATTCTGTTATGAATATTTTAGATCCATTCTTGGTTTTCAAGTTTGTTGTCTGCATTCAAAATGCTCATGTTTGACAGGGCTCCCTCTACATCACCCCAACAATGTAATCCCACCCCCCCACTTTATACCCAGTGTCAGCATCGAGCGCTTTGCTGCTGTGCTGTGAGAGTTAGTACCAGCCGTGCTGAAAACTGAGGCAGAGTCTGCTCTTGACCAAGGACAGTGGCTTACTGAATTCTTGCTCTACAGTTATTTGTGATCTCCAGCTCAGGCTCCCAGCTCACTGCAGCTGTTCCGCAGTAATAAGAGACGCAGTGGCAGTCAGTTCATTGAGAGACAACTAGTCAGACTGACACACACACACACACACAGACAGACAGACAGAGACAGATACTGAGAGACAGAGAGAGGGGGACAGAGAGAGGGGGACACACACAAGCACAGGGATACAGACACTGAGAATGAGGCTGACAGAGACTAAGAGTGAGAGAGAGCAAGAGACAGTGATAGAGACTAAGACAGAGAGAGAAAGAGAGTGTGGACAGAGTGGGAGAGAGAAAAAGTGAGGGAAAAATAGTGAGAGAAATAGAGAGAGAGCAAGAGAGATAGACATTTAGTAAAAGATAAGGTGTCAAACAAGTGAAGGACAGGTAGTGAGTGGGAAAGACAGCACTCGTCTAGCGCCGACCCTCCGACAGTGCCCGCTCCCTCGGCGCTGACCCTCCGACAGTGCGGCGCTCCCTTGGTGCTGACCCTCCGACAGTGCGGCACTCCCTCCGACAGTGCGGCGCTCCCTCGGCACTGACCCTCCGACAGTGCGGCTTTTCCTCGACGCTGACCCTCCGACAGTGCGACACTCCCTCGGTGCTGACCCTCCGACAGTGCAGTGCTCCTTCCGTATAGCCTGACCTTCAGAATTCGTCACTCTTAAGTCCCATTACTTTCTCCAACGCAGCTCTTTGAGAAATTATTGATGTGGCGAGCATGAGAGTGGTTGGCTGGAATTTATTGCCCGTCCCTGGCTATCCCTTGAGAAGGTGATGGTGAGCTGCCCTCTGTAGCGATGGATACCCTACACTGTTGTTTGGGGGACACCCTGATTGTTGTAAACTCTAGTGGATACAAGTATAACCTCTCCCCTAAGATAAACCCTTTGGACTGGGAACCAGTGCAGTGACCCTCCTCTGAGCTGCTTCCAGTCACACATCACGGAATCAGACCCTTGGGCCATCCAGTCTGTGCTGACCATGATCCCAAACTAAACCTGTCCCACACCTGCCTGCTCCTGGCCCCTGTCCCTCCAAACCTTTCCTACTCATGTACTTATCCAAATGTCTTTTAAACGTTGTTAAACGTTAAATCTCTCCCCTCTCACCTTAACAATGTGTCCCCTAGTAGCGAAAACCCCCCACCCTAGGGGAAAAGACACCCACCATTAACCCTATCTATACTCCTCAAGATTTTATAAACTTCTATCAGGTTGCCCTTCAACCTCCTACACTCCAGTGAAAAAAGTCCCAGCCTTTCTTTATCACTCAAACCCTCCGTTACCCGGCAACATCCTGGTAAATCTTTCCCAAACCCCTCTCCAGCTTGATAAGATCCTTCCTACAACAGAACTGGACACAGGTGCTCCAGAAGGGGCCTCACCAACGTCCCTGTGCAACTTCAACATGACGTCCCCAACTCCTACACTCAAAGGACTGAGCGATGAAGGCATGTGTGCCAAACGCCTTCTTAACCCCTCCCCGCCCCCCATCTATATGGGATGGGTCTACCATACCCCTGTAAGCTGTAGTAAGGCTCCCCCCTGCTCTCTTCAGTTCTGCTCTCACTCACTCAACAGCTTCCCTGTAAGCAAGTGTCTCACTCCAACAGTCTTGAAAACAAAGTGGGGTGGGGGTGGGGGTCACTCTGCACACAGATTAAAACATTTGGCCTCTCATCTGTGCGCCCCAACAGCTACCCACCCCCACTACCGTCACCCTGCACCTCCTTCCTCTGTGGTGCCTGGCTCAAGCAGCAGGCCATCCCCCAGTTGATCAGCTACCCTCACTCCCATGTGCCTCCCCTTCCCGACCTCAGCAGAATGCTTTCTCCCTCTCGTGCCCCACTATGTCGTGATCTGACCCCCTCCCGGCCCCTCCTGCCAGCAGATCATCCCTCGCCTGCACCCAGACAAACATGGCAACGATCAACTATCACACCTCACGGCCAGCATCATAGAGAAGATTCGGCCCAACCCGTCCTCGCCGACCCAGATATCCTAAATTAATCCAGTCCCGTTTGCCAGCATTTGGCCCATATCCCTCTAAACCCTTCCTATCCACGGCCCCATCCAGTTGCCTGTTAAATGCTGTCATTGTACCAGTGATCACCACTTCCTCTGGCAGCTCGTTCCACACACACACCACCCTCTGCATGAAAAGGTTGCCCCTTAGGTCCCTTTTAAATCTTTCCCCCTCTTACCTTAAACCTATGCTCCTCTAGTTTTAGACTCCCCCTACCCTGGAGAAAAGCTATTCACCCTATTCACGCCCCTCATGATTTTATAAACGTCTATAAGGTCACCCCCTCAGCCTCCAACGGTCCAGTGAAAACAGCCCCAGCCTCTCCCTGTAGCTCAAATCTTTCAACCCTGGGCAACATCCCTGTAAATCTTTTCTGAACCCTTTCAATTTTCACAACATTCTTGCTATAGCAGGGAGACCAGAATTGGCCAGAGGCTGGGGCTGTATCCAAAGGGGAGTTTAGAAGGGTGGGGATAGGCGGATTTAACTGAAAGAGGTATGGCCCTGAAGGATGGAGGCTGTTTGATTGGGGTAGGTACTGAGCTGACATTTCCCCTTTGTGTTCAGGGGATGGATATAATCTAGAACTAGGGGAGGAAGCGGTGGGGTCTCTGGTTTCGGAATGAGACAGATCTCCCATTTCAAATGGAGATGACATGGAGTCTCTTCTCTCTTGGCGGAGGGTGGAGGAGAGATGAGGTGGGGGTAT